GGAGATGATTTGGGAAAATACGAAAGCCGTGGCAGAGTTCCTGCCCATGGAACCTTTCAATGTGCAGTGTGGACTTCAGGTGGAAACAGGTTCTGGATTACTGTAAAGACAGAGCTTCCAGTAACAGCTTTAAGATCTTTTGTAAAGTTTTTCTCTAAGGACAAAGACACAGATTGTTTCCCAAGATTTTTTTATGTCTCCTGCTATTGTAAGTGTGTATTTGTTTCCATTTTGTTTTTTGTAGCCCCTTTTTACTGCAGGGCAGCTCTGCTTTCACTGTTCTTTATAGTCTGCAAAAGAAAGGCTTCCTGATTTGATGGCAGCCAAAGGTGGGGCTGATTTGCAAACTCAGGGCTCAACTTTAAGTGGAGAAATGGGAAGAGGACATTTTGCTTCTAGGAAACCGGGCCTTTATTGACGAAGTGAGAAAAGAGGAAGAAAATCTAGCTGAGTCATAGTAGCTAATGTTAGTTTAGCATTTCCTGTTTGTCAGGCACTAGCTAAGCAGTGTCTACACATGAGTTGATGAAACAACTCTAAAAGACAGGCATTATTATTACTTTTGCTGTACAGATGTGAGAGGAGCTTGGAGAGATTAAATGACTTGCCTAAACTCACCAGCCAGTTTGTGGTGGGGCTGAGCTCCCTGCTGCTCAGTACCCCACACTTCTGCGCTGTGCTGTCTTCCGGGGACACCGGCTGTTGGGGAGTGCTGATAGAGCTGCTGGCTGAGAAAAACTATTCAGGAGCTGTGGAGGGGGCGATATAGACCCACCTCAGCCAGAGAACTATTAGCCTAATGTCGGTTGTCTGTGGGAGAATTTCAAGACAAAACAAAATCTGTGCTGTGAAAGGCAGGAGGCCTTTGATGACTCCAAGGGTGATGGAATGATGAAATGCAAGATTTTCTGCTTATATTCAGGAGACAGTGACATATTTGATCATTTGGCTACAGAAAAAAGGAGAAAATCTATTTATCTGGTTCATAAAGCAAATCGATGAATGAGAGGCAAAGCACCTTTACATTCACACCCTGTGTACTTGTGCTTTTCTGCATAGACGAAGGGTAAAAGGAGAAGCGATGGTGAGAAATCCAGGCACCCTGTCGACTCTGCCTTTGTGAGGAATCATAGTTCAGTATCACGAGAACTCCTGACAACCTTCTCTGAGAAAACAGATAGGAACACAGCGTAGAAGATTTGAATGAGAGCTGTTAGAAGACAGCATCAGCTGGGCGCCGTGGCTCATGCCTGTAATCCCAGCACTTTGGCGGGTGGATCACTTTGAGCTCAGGAGTTTGAGACCAGCCTGGACAACATGGCAAAAGCCCCCCGTCTCTACAAAAAAATGCAAAAATTAGCCAGGTGTGGTGACTTGCACCCGTAGTCCCAGCTGCTAGGGAGTCTGAGGCTGGAGAATGGCTTGAGCCCACGAGGTGGAGGCTGCGGTGAGCTGAGATTTCACCACTCCAGACTGGGCAACAGAGTGAAACTCTGTCTCAAAAAAGACAAAAAAAAAAAAAAAAAAAAAAAAAAGACACAGCATCGATTCATAGAGGTTGTGGGACACGTCACGTACTTCAAAGTCATTTGGAAATTGTTTCCATGGGCAGTCAATTAACCCCTAACGTTCCATCTGTTTCAGTATTAGCATTCCTCCTGCAATGTGAAATTGTTTCTTTGCAAGCTCATCTTCACAGAAAGTTGCTTTATTTGATTTTACTTTTCTATCTCTGAATCACTTTGGTTTCTAGTAATATTGAATTGTTTTCAGGACTTTCAGATGAGAGCTGGGTTTTTCTATAGATTCTTATGACTCGATCCTGGGGAGATGACAGGTGTATGTCATTGGGCTTGTGGGAAGTCGGGTCGAGCACTTACCAGAGTGAGGCTTTCTGGGCTTCTTTCAGCCCTAGCAGGTCTCACCTTTCTGTGGGCCATGACCTTAGACTGGTTTTCACATTCTGCCCTCCTTTCTTCCTCCCTGCTGAGAGAGCCTCGTTCCAGGACAGCTTGCTGTCGGTCGGGGACGCACTTTTATTTCTCCATTATCAGGCAAAAGGCAACATCCTGGCTTCCTCTGTTGTTTGCAAGACCAGGAGCCAAGCTGAGCCAAGCTTTTACCCCGGCTCTGCCACTTTGTATTTATTTCTGGCCCTTTGAAGCTGTGTCTTTTCTTTTTCTTTTTTCTTTTCTATCATTGTTATGTCTGAGTGAAATGGGATATTGAAAGTGTAAACTCATAGCATTTTCTTTACCCAGAAAAGAGAGACATGTTTCAAGCGAGCATAAGAAAAATGTCTAATTTAAATCTGCCTGAAAGAAAATGGGCTGACTTGTAAGTACAAATCATAAAGGAGAGGTTGAATGATCGTCTCTTAGAGAAGCTTTAAAGAGAATGCCTTCTTCTTCCTTATTCGGAAGGGGTGGTGAATTAGATTTCTACTAAGTTCTCTTGTGGGTCTGTGAGTCTGGCTCTATGCAGGGCTGTTGTTTCTGCAGTTGGTGATCCCAGATGGTGGGCTTTTTCTGAGTGTTTATGTCCTTTTTATGGCCTTTAAGACCCCTTCTTGCAGTTTATTAGAACTGTCTACTTTTACTGTGTTTAATTTGTGCTTTTAGCAGTGCAGAAACAATGTCAAGTACAAACATCAGAACTAATTTAGCATCAGGCATTTTTGTTTGGACTTCAGTAGCAAGCTTTCTTGGTATTGCACGTAAAAGAAGAGACTAAAGAAGCTCTGGGTCAGAATCTAAGGGTCTGTCTCGGAGCAAGTTCCCCAGTTTAGGGAAATGGACAGACTTTTTGACATTTATAGGTCTGGATTTTTAGTTACCACACGGGGTGAACCGTGTGGTCTGCCTTTTTAGAAGATAAACACAATTTTAGACATAATTGGTAGACAAGCAAGTTTTACAACCTGGGAAGTCATCTTTGTGGAGGAGAAAGAATTTTAGATGGAAGTCAGGAGAACCAGCGTTACCATGACTCTGATACTTCTAATCATTTAGTCTTGAGAAAATTACGTGGTTTTTTTGCACCTTAGTTTATCAATCTTCAAGTTCACTGAATTTGATTAAGCAATGTTTAAGGTTTCTTCATCTCCACAGGTTCTAAAAATCACATGCCACTGCTTCCAGGAGTGTCTGGCCGTATCCAGAAGGGGGTTAAGGCTCCCTACACCTTAGCAGTTAAGGGGTTGGCCACTGGCATTAGGCATTCCTATTTTTGAATGCCATTTCTATCATGTAAGCCATGTGATACTAAGGAGGTCACTTACCCTTCCAATTCTCTGTTTCCTTATCTATAAGATGGAAATGAAAATTATATTAGTATCTATTTTACAGATAATGTTTTAAAGTTTAATACAAAAATTCATTAAAGGACTTTGCTCAGGCATGGCACATAGAAAGGCATCAGTATGGGCTGGGTGCGGTGGCTCACGCCTGTAATCCCAGCACTTTGGGAGGCCGAGGCGGGTGGATCACGAGGTCAGGAGATTGAGACCATCCTGGCTAACATGGTGAAACCCCATCTGTACTAAAAATACAAAAAATTAGCCAGGCATGGTGGCGGGCGCCTGTAGTTCCAGCTACTTGGGAGGCTGAGGCAGGAGAATGGTGTGAACCCAGGAGGCGGAGCTTGCAGTGAGCTGAGATCATGCCACTGCACTCCAGCCTGGGTGACAGATCAAGACTCCATCTCAAAAAAAAAAAAAAAAAAAAAGAAAGGCATCGGTATGTCCATCTTTGTCTTACTGTGAACTTCTTGAGAGCAATCTTTCTACCTTATCTGTCACAGTCTAGCTCATTTATCTCTTATTTTGATTGCTTCGTTATGGGTTTTATATGAAGTAGTGTTCAATAAATGAATGATCTAGTATTTTCAAGAAGCATGACTCATACAAATATAGAATGAATACATGTCAAAAAATTTGCTTAGCTCTTTAATGAGGGAACCTACAAGATAGTAAAGCTGATTTATCAGAACTAGAGAAAAAGAATTATGTACTTCATATCAAAATAATTTTTCTAAATTTGATGCAAAACTGATCAAAGTCCTATGACAGAATAAAACTATAAACTTTAAAGCAATCATCTCTTCTTGACATTTGTGTCTCTATAGGACGGAAATCTATGTTAACCTACAGTTACACAGTTCTTAGATAGGTCTGTGAAACACTATTTTAGTATGACATTATAAGGACATTCAAGTCCTTTTTTGCCATTTCCAAGTTTTGGTCAATTTTTCTAATTAGTTATAAGACTAAACCCGAAGTATTATTTATCTTAGAAAAAGATTAAACAGGTATATGATTCTAGTTTATAAGTATCAATTTCCTGCCTAAACTTATAATATATACTAGGTCTGTCCATAATTATGTTTTCATAATGTTTCATTAAGGAAAATAGAGGGATATTTAGGAAAACACTATCAATTTCCAAGATGATACTATAGAGGGCAACCATTTAATAAGTACTTACATGGGCCATGCACCATGTTAAGTGCTCTATGGACATTTTAGTTTAATTAGTAAACAATCGTGTGAGGTACGTATTATTATCCCCATTTTGAAAATCAAGTAAATGAGTCTCAGTGAGGTTAAATAATTTAGTCAAGATTATGCAGCCAGCATGAGTCAGAATTGAAATTCAGTCTGATCCTGAGTTTTACATTCCCTCCTGTGCCCTGTTATACTACCAAAGTCTTAAACTCGGAGAAATTTACAAGCATGTTTCTAGTTAAACACACACATGAATGGTTTTAGTTTTGCTTATATGACAGAGCATGTGCAAAATGGTCCTTTTTCTTTTAACCATTTTAAAACTGCCAGCGATAAGCGACCTTTCTGTTCTCTACTCACTGAATTAAAACATACATGTTTTAAAGAAAAATAAAATCATTCTGTTTAGCTCTTGGAAGCCTCTGTTTCTCACACTGTTTTCTTTGTAACTTATTTATCTTTCTTATATCTCTTCTGGCCCCCGATATGCCTGTAGGTGGGCTGGATCCTTTCTATCCTGGATGAACTGCAGCTGAGCCCTCAGCCTCCCGTGGGGGTCCTTCCTCTGGGGACTGGGAATGACCTGGCTCGAACTCTCAACTGGGGAGGGGTAAGAACTGCTCTCAGGGACTGCCCATATCATCAAACAACAAACCGAATTCCAGATCCACTGATGTTCTAATGGAAGCGGGGGGTGGTAACTGCTGCTGTTGTCCAAGGCATAAGTTAGAGTTTGGAATCAAAGTGCCCTTGAGCCCTTATTTGGTCTGGTAGCTTCTTCGGTTTAAACTTATAATCAGCTAGAAGGGAAAGGAAAGCTTAGTATGAGAGAAATAATAGTGGTTAGTACATAGGCCTGCGGCTTTTTGAGGTATCCACTAAAAGATAGTTCGTGAGTTTGGCCTCAAGTCTGTGTGTAAAAGGATCATACAGACTTCAGTTAATCCAGACTCTCAGCCCCAGCTATGATAGCAAATCTGGTTCAACTTTACAAGCCTGACTTGGGAGAGTTATGACTTTTTTTTTTGAACATTTTTTTTTTTATTAGTGCCATCAGAGCTTTGGCTGTATAGGTACTTACCTGTCCTTTCCACAATGAAGCCAACTTCAGGCAAGCTTGGGGGAAATTGTTCTGCAGTTGCTAAACAGCCATTTATTTCCTTATGTATTTTATAGTACTAAGATAGTAGGAAGGCACACTATATATACATACGCTGTGTATATATACATATACATACACATATACAGCCCCACCAACATTTATTTATTTATTTTTGAGACAGAGTCTCGTTCTGTCGCCAGGCTAAAGTGCAGTGGTGAATCTCGGCTCACTGCAACCTCCGCCTCCCAGGTTCAAGCAATTCTCCTGCCTCAGCCTCCCGAGTAGCTGGGATTACAGGTGCCTGCCACCCTGTGCAGCATTTTTTTTTTTTTGTATGTTTATTAGAGACAGGGTTTCACCATGTTGGCCAGGCTGGTCTCGAACTCCTGACCTCGTGATCCACCAGCCTCGGCCTTCCAAAGTGCTGGGATTACAGGCGTGAGTCACTGCGCCTGGCCCCCACAAACTTTTTATCTGCTCATAGGAGAGCATTACCTGGGCTGGGCTTCGTGAAAATTATATTCAGATGCTTAGCAGATGTTAGTTGACCTTTGGGCAGATTAATCTTCCACAGGTCTTTTTTTAAAGTAGGTAGTGTAGAAATAAAAAATGTATTTACATGGGGCAACTAAGGTTATTATCAGTGTTAACTTCTCCCTTCCAAATCAGTGCCTTGAATATTCCAAATCAGTGCCTTGAATATTGAGGACAGTCTATCTTGCTGTCAGTCATGGATCTTCAAGGATTAAGTAGCTCCCTTACAGGGCCATCCCTCAGTGAGACTTGCCTAAGGTCTTGGGAAGAATGGTGTCCTCCAAGGAGGTCAGGGAGAGGTGGTTGAGAGGGAATGTTAATAGACAAACATTGTCAATCCTATCCCTCCTTGATTCTTTCCTTGCCTCTCCAAACACATTTGTTTTGTGTTTCCCCCAAATTCCTCTAGTGAGAGCCACAAGGAGTCCTGTTTTTTACTCTGATAAAAGTAGCCATCCAGCCTCCAGTATGACCCTTAATGTGTACCGGTGACTATTGGTTCTTGCTGTTGACAAAAAATATTCCTGAGCTCAAACCAGCCAGAGCTAGTGTTTCTATGTATCTTACAGTATTGTCTCAAATATACCTCAAGGTGAAAAATTTGCTCTCCAAACCTTGCTAATTACAAAATAAACAGAATATAGCGGCTTGGCTCTTCCTTGCATAAAATAGCATTAGCTTCGCTGTTCTCCACTCTAGACAGCAATGGATATGTTCTCTGATTCCTCAGGGCTACACTGATGAGCCTGTTTCTAAGATCCTGTGCCAAGTGGAAGATGGGACAATTGTACAGCTAGATCGCTGGAACCTCCATGTGGAAAGAAACCCCGACTTGCCTCCAGAAGAACTTGAAGATGGCGTATGTAAGGTTAGAAAGTTTTTTGTTCTTCAGAAAGGAACCCTGGAGCATCGGCCTGAGCTACACGAAATAAATTCCTGGCTGGAGAGTCATGTGCTGATGAATTCCTATGAGATAATGTGATAGTGTTTGAGTTGATGGCTACTAGGGCTATGGGTATAGTAGTAACACCTAATGATTCTGCCCCAATGACCTCTAAAGACCTAGATTCCATACCTGCTTCCAAAGCTCAGGGAGCTCTTCTCTGTCTTCAGCCTCTGCACTAGAAAGGCATGTATTCTGTCTTAATCATTCATGTTAGTAGCAAATAACTTATGAGAAGATGAAGAAATATGTTAATTTGGAAGCAATGGGAGCTTATTCTTTCAGTAGAAGTACAAACTCCTGAGATTTCAGGCCTGCTATAAAATATATCGTATGTTGAGGAAGTATTAACTATGCCAATTTTATCACTTTGGTGGGACTTGAAGATACGTCAATAAATGTTTTGACTTCATGTTATTTAAAAAAAAATGACTTAATTTAGATTCAAGCTGCATGTGTGCAAATTTGTTTCATGGACATATTACATGATGCTGAGGTTTGGGATATGATTGATCCCATCACCCAGATAGTGAGCATAGTAACCAACAGGTTTTCAATGCTTGCACCTCTCCTTGCCTCCCCACTCTAGTGGTCCCCAGTGTCTATTGTTGCCATCTTTATGTCCAGACTTCATGTTTTCTTTTAGTGATTGAGCTTTTATTTCAACCAAAAAGCCAACCAAGGGATATATTAATACTGTGAGCCTTCAGTTGATCCTTCGGTTCTAAGTTATGGCCTCAATTTCAGATAAATTTGGGAGGCTGCTGAGTAGCCACTTCCCTCATATTACTTTCCACTTTCCTTCTGTGATTGAAGTTTCAAACTCTGTATGTGTAAGAATCTCCAGGTGTGTTTGTTAAAATGCAGATTACAAGGTCCAGTCCCCAGAGATTCTGATTAAGTAAATGCAAGTTAAGGATCAGGCATCTGGACTTTAAATAGTATCCCAGTTGTAGTGAACCATGCCATTTATTGAGGCTAAGATTTCATGGATGTTTCAGGCTTATAATAGATTAAACCCCATATCATTTTAGATTTAGATAAAACCCACACCTATTAGCATCCTGATCCTGATCAATTTAATTACATATATTATAATTTAATAGATGTTCAGGTTTCTTACTTGGCTAAATGAGATTAAAACATGTTTTACTTTGTCTTTATGGTTTTTTCACCTAAACTAAGATCCTGAAATTCTAGTAGATTTCTAGTAGATATCATGATTGCTCAGCTGAATTCAAGTTTATAATGTCACAATGTTGTTTAAACAACAAGTATCATCTTGAGATGTGATGCTTTTTTATAATGTGTTTGACTTATAGAAATTGGATAGAAAACAGCTGAAATATAAAGAAGAGTACCATATGGATATTTTAAGTTTCTTTTCCTACTGAACTTGGAATGGTTAGATGTGCAATAGAAATCCATATTTAATTCTCTTTCCAACAGCTTAAGAAATGGAAAGACTTCTTGGTGTAGCCAGGGAACACCAATCCAGATCAATCCAGATAATTAAAGGGTTTTTTAAAAAGGGGTTTTTAAAGAGATGTATGGGAAACTGGGGCAAGTTTTCCTGGAAAATATAAATAACTTAAAAACAGACTAAAGTGGGATATGATTTAGGTGATGGTGACCAGATGTTCTCCTTAGCTATCAGTAGATGTTAAGACGTGGGTTAGAATTGTGGCCAAAAGAACATAAATGGTAGAGGAGATGAACATGTCTGTGCTTTTGGCAGGATCACCAACCCATGCTGTCATTACTAAGAACTGGTATTTTGTTTAAGTGCAGGAACTGGATATTCTCAAATAAGAAGCCTGAAGAGTGAGACATGATTTTGGCATTGTTCTATGTGTTTAGTTTCTCTCCTGGTCCTTCATTTAGTTGAGACCATTTCTAAGAGTTCACTTGGACTCTGAATCATTCATTACATAGGCTTTGAATCAAGAGCTTCCATGTGGGGTCATTCCTTACTTTCATTAGAGACCAAGCCAGTCCAATTTTCTTTTTTCTGCTTTTATATCTCTCTTGCTCTCTCTCTTATTTCACTTTTCTCTTAATGAAAGAAAATTCTCCTTGTAGTGAAACAGAAAATCTTGCTGATCAAGGGGCATATGAAATACTGTAAAAAACATATTTTTGAAATCTTGAGGGTTAAAACACTTATCTCTCAGAGAAGACAGGTACAGTTCAATTTGGGACACAAACCAGATAATTAGCTGGAAACATTTCTCATCTTTATTTACTTTAATATTTACCTTTCACTTGAGTTGCAGAAGGAAAAGTGGGAGAACCAGCCATTCCCATTCTCGCATTTTCCACATGCTTTCTTAATTGTTGTAACATTGAACTGAAGCTTAAAATCACATTAGTTTTGCAGATTTAATGCAGGATTTGAGGCTGCAGAGTTCTCTTCATTCAACTTGCACTGGTAACAGCCAGAGACCCAAAGGACTCTAGGAAGGAAAGTTAAAGCTTACATTGCATCTGTGTGGCTGTGTTTTCAGATTTCATGGTCATAATAAAGATATAAGGGTTGATAGATTAAACGAGAACTTGAATAATACTAATATGTATTTTTGTTGTTGTTTTTCTCTCTAGGCCAGCAGTAACTGAATGAGTCACATTGTCCTATTTTTTTTTTTTTTTTGTGAGACGGAGTCTTGCTCTGTCACCCAGGCTGGAGTGCAGTGGCACGATCTCGGCTCACTGCAGGCTCCGCCTCCCGGGTTCCCACCATTCTCCTGCCTCAGCCTCCTGAGTAGCTGGGACTACGGGTGCCTGCCACTATGCCCGGCTAATTTTTTTTGTATTCTTTAGTAGAGACAGGTTTCACTGTGTTAGCCAGGATGGTCTCGATCTCCTGACCTCGTGATCCGCCCGCCTCGGCCTCCCAGAGTGCTGGGATTACAGGCGTGAGCCACCGTGCCTGGCCACATTGCCCTATTTTTTATATGACTTATGTAAAAAAAAAAAAGTGTGTGTGTGTGTGTGTGTGTGTGTGTATGTGTGTGTGTGTATATATATATATAGAAAGAGAGAGAGAGAAAGATAAAATAGGTGATGGGTAAACAAGTTAAATATTCATTTTACATTACAGTATTGGTTTGCTGAATATAAATTCTTGAAAAAAGTGTATCCACTGAATAAATTGGTTAGACATCATCTTTACAATTGAATTTACTTTCTAGGTTTGCTTAGTGAATTATTCTTTGTAACTATTGCAAATATATATCCCTCAGCTTAACGAGTTCCTGTTATTACAGCATCTATAAGAATGGTTCTTATTTAATAATTTGTATTTGTAGCTCTTATTTCTTATACTATTTATGATTCTTGAGAAAATTACTTGATTTTAGCTTTCACTAATGAATTAATCCAATAATTTCCTGTTCTTTCTACATAAGCACCCTCCACTTCGAGTTGTGGCTGATCTGTCTCTTGGGGACTTCTTCAGAGATAGGGGTCCGGCTTTAGGTTTTATTCTTCTCTTTCTGCCTGGCCACACACAATTTTGCCTCTGTCTTTGTTTATCATTACAGCTCCCTCTGAATGTTTTCAATAACTACTTCAGCCTTGGATTTGATGCTCATGTCACACTGGAGTTCCATGAATCCAGAGGTGAGGACAACGTCCCATTTCCATCTCCCAGGGAGGAAGTTTCTAGCAGGTGTTTTGCATGTTCCCTTTTGTTTGTATATCACTTACGCGTTTACAGTGGGCTTCAGTGCTGTTTCATTTTAACCTTCAGGATGACTCTGGGAGCTAGACAGGACACGAGCTTCTTACAAATGGAACCCTGAGACCTAGTTGCTCAGACAGATGGAACCCTGAGACCTAGTTGTCCAGGGTCTCAAAGGCAGTAAAAGGCAGGACTAGATGTGTGTTCCAGGTCTCAGGATTGTTAATCTTTGTGTTCTACTGGAAGTTCTGAAGTGAGTAAAATACTAAGAAGTGATAGAGACGATTACTGAAGTCACTAGGATATTCTTTAGCTTCACAAAACACTATTAAAGTGCAACACTACATAACCAGAGCCATTGAAACATGGTAGCAAAAACAAAAACGTCCCCACTGTATAAAAGAAAGAGGCATCTTAGAACAATGGAGGAGCTATAGGTAGTTTAGGTTGAAAGAATAGGATGTAATGGTGATGGGATTAATTAGGAAGGTACTAGGCATCCCCACTGAGTGATACAGAGGTGTGAATGAAACCATGTAGTGATTTCGGGTACTAAAAGAGATGGAGTCAAGATTAGGGGAACACAATTTTTGAAAGAGAAGACAAAATAATGACATGCTATTAAATATTTCATCAATATTTTCTTATGCCATTTAGAACTGAGAAAGTTTAGGGTTTTGACTTATGTTTTGTAGTCCCAATTGATCTCTCTCTCTCTTGCTTTCTGTCTCGTTCTCTCTCTTAAACTCTCTTATTAATATAGCTATACTATATATCCATGTCTATGCCTGTGTCTATATCTGTATCTAGTGCCTTCTGACTATATATAACCAGAACCATGCTAGGATGTAGATTATCAAGAGAGTTGTGAGATAAAGTCATAAATGAGAAGTACTTTACTTTTTCCCCTCCAGGTTATGTAAGAAAGGAAGTGGTGTTTAGAGTTTTTGCATACTTTGGAATTTGAAATAACAGAGCACTAAAAGCCAGAATTCAGATTTTCAGATTCTGGTAATGACATGAAAATTCTGATCATGCACTTGGGCACCAGAAGTCAAAAGTGATGCTACAGGATTAAAAACCACTAGAGTATAAAATACAAGTAGGAAACAGATATTCAAAGTCTCTTACTGGATCCAGAAATGTTAGTAGACTTTGACCTTCCTGGTTTCACAAGGTTTTGAGACGACAGACTCTGTAAAGGTCAAATTCTGTGCCAAGCAAGAACAATACTGTTTGAAGAGAAAGTCATAGTTTGGTATTCCTCTCTGATTGGCTAGAAAATCACAGCTAGAAGGGATGATTGATAACAGAACCTCAAATATCCTGAGTCAGAAACACTTCCACTTTCCCCCTCCCTGCCTTAGACAGTTCTTGGATATCAGATATTCAGAGGGACCTACCTTAGGGCCAACATTTATGACCTGATACCCTTCCTATATTTAAGGAGAGTTAATTTGGGAAGTAAATGGGGGATTTTATTCTTCATTTCTTACCCCATTTTTTGTCCCATATTCTTTAGCAGAATCCGGATCCTAGGCTTCTTAATAAAATACACCAAACTTCTTAATAATACCTGTAAAGTAACACAATTATCACTAATACATGGATTTCCAAAAATAGACATGAAAAGAGGTCTAAATGAATAAGTGGCCAACAATGAGCTCATTCAGTGAGCTCATTGAGCTCAAGTGAGTCTCGTCTTTAGTCTAACTAATCCGGAAGTTTTTCTAATGATTCACTTCCTTGTACTATGATGAAGTTTCTATGCATCAGAGTGAGAAGGGAGGAGGGAGAGACCCTTACATGGAAATACCAGGCTTAGAAGAAAATTCTTTTGGGGAAAGTGTTTTTCTCTTTTATTTTAAGCTGTAGGACTATTTTAGAGTGGAATATGCAAATTGTTGTGTGTGTGAACGTGTACATTTATATGCGTGTGATTATAAAACAAAAGATGTTAAGCATTAATCTTTGTATAGTCTAGTTTATTGCTGAGGCGTATTGTATTTTGATGCAGTATGAATGGAATTGTAAACATTTCCCCTGCACGTAAATCAGAGTCTTTGAGGAAAATCAGCCACTGAAGGGCTGCTAAGGGAGAATTGATATTGATTGGAATTAATAGGTACAATATTCATGCAGGTGAGATAGAGGTGGTAAAAAAAATAAATATCTATAAGATATTGGAACCAGATTTTGCTGATAGACCAGACGTATGGACTTTTCAGTAGCTGTTAATCTGCTTTATTAACATTAAATTAAAAAATTATTTGTCTATGAAATATATAATTCAGTGAGTAGTCTTTTTTTTTTAACTGTTTCTGTTCATTTGTATTTTCCCCTTATTTTTAACTAGTTAGTCAAGAAATCTTAAGCTGAGCTATAGAAGAAAAAACAGGATAAGCAAGACCACATTTTTAATTGTGGCAAGCTTACTTATTTTGTCAGATAGTGAGTGGCTGTTCTCAAACCAAGAAAACTCATAGTGAGACTTTAAACTGTTTTCCAACACAGGCACTATCTACGACTTCATGGATCATTTGCCATAAAATACCTGAAGGGTAACGCAAAGGCTCGTGAAAGCTGTTGTGAAAAAATAGCTTGGATAGTAGAATCTATGAGGTATTAGTCAAGAAAATGTAGTACTTTTAAGTTGAGAATTATGCCAATATATCTACATAAAAATGGGTAATTCATATAAATCTCATTAAAGGAGAATTTTTAAAAATTTAACTGTGGAAAAAATTTTTAGCACAGATATAAGTATAGCCCATCAAATGGACACTTCTCAGCATAACTACACATAGTGTATTTCTTTTAGAAGGAATAATTAAACTGGCATTAATTCCCATTTTTATGTCTATTCCAAACACAAGCCAAATTCAAAAACATGTTTAATTACATTTGGAAGCTGCATACGTAGCTTATGGAAGTCATGCCCTATGAAAGTCAAAGTAAATAATCACTTTTCCACCTCCTTCCACCTTTCCCTGTTATCCCAGCCCAGTATCCCTGTGAACCCTCCAGTTTTTACAAAGCATCTAGAGTGTCTCCATCTTTAATGTGCTTGAGAATCACCTGGAGAGCTAGTTAAGCCCCTCCACAGATGTATAGACTCCACATTCAGTCATTCTGACTCAGTCAATCTGGCTAGCACCTAATCATTTGCATTTCTAACAAGTTCACAGTTAATGTCAGTGATGCCAGTTTGTAGCTACACATTTATAGTCCTGGATTACTGTCCCTGTAGCACTGGGCCACTGTACTAACTGGCCTGGAACTAGGGGAAAGAAGATAACCAAACCATGGGATCTATTGGATCTGTAGGATGGGAGGGAGTTGGGGAGGAAATGGGAGTGCTAATCTAAGTCGCTACCTTTAATGAGGTCTCCATAACAAAACTACCTTTCCTCTTTCACAGAAGCAAATCCAGAGAAATTCAACAGTCGTTTTCGAAATAAAATGTTCTATGCAGGGGTAGGTATACATTTTATTTTATAATTACTACATATTACTTAGTGCCAATGCACTGTGTAATAAAGTTGCAAACTACATTAGAAATAATCACATATACATTTCGTTTATATATGTCTGTATATGGTTACTGTTTAATGTCTGGGCTTAAGAATGAAGGTGAGGTGTATTTAAGTTAGCTGTCAGAAAGAGAGTTGGTGTTCCTCATCTTTGAGCTTGTAAGGAAGCCCTGAGGCTTCATGTTGAACAAGAGAGGATGCTATTCAAAGAGGAATGTGAGAAACAAACATCAAAGACAATGTAAGAAATGGGGGAATTGTGTAGACTGAGGATGTCTGAAGAATCTTAGGGAAGAATGTAGTTTTCACCAGGGTGCACACATTGACGTTTGGATTAGAAACTGGCAGAATATGGGGTGTTTTTCATGGATGCATAGGTGAGATTAAAGAGGGTGCCTTTTTTTTCCTTCTTTTGTTTCTCAGGCACGTTCATAGAAGTAAATAGAGAATGGAAAAAAAAGGCATCCAAAATACCAGTACGGTTTAAATTTATGCCACTGGATAGGAGGAGTTTAACTAAAAGGCGTTTGGAAGCTGCATATGTAGTTTATGGAAGTCAAGCCCTGTGACACTCAGAGCAAATAAGGAAAAATCTTAGTGGAAAGACTGTATCAGCACTTAATGGACAAGGAAAGTGGTCAGAATAGGTTGTCTAAATAAACCTTCCAATGACCCTCAGATTGTCTACTTTTTCTCTCTCATTCTGTGCTCTTAAATTTTATAGTGGAACTATAAATTATAGTTTGGAGACAAAGAAAAATTTCAACTTGACAACTACTGCACTGCTTTACTTTGGATTCTGCAGAAAGAGAACATGTTTAGACTTTTTGCATACTTTGGAATCCTTGGAATCTAGGATATGGAAGCAGGGATTTGGTATAACCATATAATTACGAATTTCTTCTTCTTTGTTTCCCTGTGGTATAGGCAGCTTTTTCTGACTTCCTACAGAGAAGTTCTAGAGATCTGTCCAAACATGTTAAAGTTGTTGTAAGTATTGAATATGTTGATTTATTTCATTTGGATATGACATGAATGCCGCAAAAAGTGAACTCCCAAATACTTAGTTTATATATTTAATCACTGGACTACATAGAACTTTGGAGATCATTTTGTGTAGTTCATTCAATCTACACTTATGTATCAGGCACTGTCTTAGTTGCTGGGGATGAAGATAAATGAAAAGACTAGTTTCACTCCTGAAGAAACTCACAGTTCAGTTGTGAAGAAGGGTCACATAAGTCACTTCAGAACAATAAAATTGTTATTCAACAATGTGTACAATATGGTTGTGGCACAAAGGGAGAAGTGATAATTCTGGCTATGGTGGGGTCAGGAAGACCTTTATCAAAAAAAAAAAAAAAATGATGTTAGCTGGGTCTTAAAGCATAAATCAGTTCTCTCCAAACAATTATCTTTATTCCAGGATAATCTGAGGAGTCTCCGTTTTAGAACGAAGTATTGATTTCATTATTTTGTGGTGACTCACTCTCCCACCTGGTTGAGGTTCCTCACCGCTGGATGGATTTTTGTGTGTGTGTGGTGTTTCTTCCTGAGTCTGTATATCAGGTTGCGGATATATGCTGCTTGGGGGCAAGGGAGAGAGAAATTTATCTTTCTCTAGGTGACCCATTCAAAAATAGAATAAAATTCGGTATTAAGAAGGATATTAATGTTTCCTTATAGTAACCCAGTTAAAACAAGGAACGAACATGACCTTGTTGCACATAGTTGTGTAAGTAAATGACAGAATGAGAAAGAGAAAAAAATATATAGATGGAAAAGAAGGGATGAGAATATCACAATGCTTGAATTTATCATGTCATATGTAAAGAATAAGAATAATTTTGACGGGCTGGGTGCGGTGGCTCGCGCCTGTAATCCTAGCACTTTGGGAGGCTGAGGCAGCTGGATTGCCTGAGCTCAAGAGTTTGAGACCAGCCTGGGCAAAATGGTGAAACCCCATCTCTACTAAAATACAAAAAATTAGCTGGGCATGGTGGTGTGTGCCTGTAGTCCCAGCTATTCTGGAGGCTGAGACAGGAGAATCACTTGAACCTGGGAGGCAGAGGCTGCAGTGAGCCGAGACCACACCACTGCACTCCAGTCTGGGCAACAGAGCGACACTCTGTCTAAAAAAAAAAAAAAATTTTTGACAAGACAGAACAGAACAAAATATATACATGGAAATAGAGAAAAATACATCATCTTAAACTAATGAGAATATGAAGAAATATAAAGATCATGAAAATATAAAAATTAAAATGTGTAATCACCAGTAAAGCATGTATAAGACATGAATCTCTCAAACTAGTTGTAACAAGAGACAAAGGCCTTTACCACTGCTATTAACAACCCTTGACATCCCTTTCAGATGTTTCAGTTCTCATACGATAAAAGTAAAAAGTAAGTATCTTTTAGTAGTGGAGACTCTTGAGACTGAAATATGGCCCATTGAACTATGAGGATTATTATTTTGATAAAATCGTGGCCATCAAATTTAAGTAGCAGCCACCTTATATTAAACTGTTTCTTCAGCTGCCTGCAGCCTAGCCAAAATTAAACTTTACTGCCCTCTCCAGTGTGTTTTACATTTACAGGCACATCTGCAATACCTGCCAGCAGACCCAGTGATTGCTGGGCGGTGGCCATATGGAATGGCAGTGTACTGTGCAAGTCACCGTATTGATATCAAACTCTGTACACTTCCTAACTGCTAGAGAGTTTTCTCTCTCACATCTCAGTCCCCTTGATGATACATGTCTCATGCGTGGGTGACTTTATAGTAGAGTCTAAAAGATGCTTGCAGAGAGGCCAAAATGGCAGCAAATAACTAGGAAAGATGTGAAATCAGCCTATACATGTAATGTTAAAGGTGGAATATTTATATCAATTGTATCTTCTCTTATCAGGAGGAAAAAAAGCATTATAACTATGTGTAAACATCTGGGATTTAGCTAGGTCTAGCTTTGCGAGGTATATGACTTTGGGGAAATCCTTTAACAAACTTTCAGAGGAGTCTGCTTTCTTCATCTGTCAAATAGGTGTAAAAAGACATGTCTTTGAAGCAATGGTTTTTGACCATTGTGCTGTGACATAGAGGGATACAAGGGTACTTTACAATGACATCATTCTATGTTTTCTTGAGTGTGAGATGAAAAGGATGGAAGGTTAGCAAGAGTGATTAGATGTCTACCCAACAACAGACTATCTTTTCTTTGTGAAGGTGAAGTCAGTGTTTCTAATGCAATAGCTAATAATGTCTCATAGAGATACAAAATATGTATGTGAATACTAGACTGAGAAAACACAAAACAACAGTAAAAACCTGCATATAGCAGTATTTGTTCCATTTTCCATATTTTCTTCTTGTTATCAATATATGAGCTTGTACAAAGGAACATATTTTGCATGCAAATATGTCCCTTTGTGTGTATTTGAAATTGGGAAAAAGTTGAAAAATGGTATTCTAAAGGAATAGTACAGTTTATTGCAATTATATATATATATATATAAACTCTGTAAAGCAGTATATGGTGTAAAGCAGACATTTTCATATGATTTGATGAGTTCCCAGAATCACTAACATGTTTCCCAGAAGGGAAAAGTAGAAAGTTAAAAAATGAATTCTGTTATAAACACAATAATATTTATTACAATCTTTCTGCAATGCAACCATAATGCTTTGTACACTATTAATGTCTCACATCCTAGGTTTCAAGTTTTAGTTGCTTACAACATGCAACTTTGACATTTACAATGTCTACTTTTTTATTCATTGGCATAGTCATTTATAAACTCATTTCAAGTTCTTAAGTAAGTTGGAAGATGTTTGCTTAGTAGTTTAGAGTACTAGAAAAACACCTTTAATGTCTAGAATTTGATTACTAAGTTATATTTGAAAATAGTTTTTTTATTTAAAATTGTAAGATTTCTTGGAAACAGTTCTTTGAGAATACGCATGAAAATTAGGCTGTATTGAGATCAACTGGGAAAAAACGCAGGTGCTGGAGACAACTTGACCACTAGCAAAATCATTATACTTAGATTGAAGCTGATCCTAAAGAACTCTTTCAAAATTTGCAGGGAGCTTGGGGATGCTTTGCTCCTCTCTCCAAACGAGAAGGTAATGGGGAAATTCTGTGATAAGGGTATGAGGAAAGCAAATATCAGAGCAGGCTTTACACCTTTGACATTGGAAAGTCGATAGTCATGACTCGAGTTATTCTCTTTTGCCCTTTGTCACCAGTGGGAAATGAGAAAGGAACAGGAAAGACTTTCCCTTGATTTATCAAAGGATAAAGCACCAGCTGATCACGGAAGCCATGTTCAAGGGTCGTTGAGGCCAAGCTGGGCTGAGACTCTTGATTCCCAGGTCTAAACTCCAGGAAAACAGTGAATCTTAGAAGTCTAAAGTCTGAATGGCCAGGCGCGGTGGCTCACGCCTGTAATCCCAGCACTTTGAGAGGCCAAGGTGGGCGGATCACCTGAGGTCAGGAGTTCGAGACCAGCCTGGCTAACACAGTGAAACCCTGTCTCTTCTAAAAAATACAAAAAATTAGCCAGGTGTGGTGGCGGGCACCTGTAATTCCAGCTACTTGGGAGGCTGAGGCAGGAGAGTCGCTTGAACCTGGGAGGCGGAGGTTGCAGTGAGCCAAGATTGCACCATTGCCCTTCAACCTAGGCGTCTGTACAAGATTAAATTTGTAAGAACAAACCACGAATGAAGATCATAAGTTTGCGGTACATAGATTTTTTAAAAAGTCTTCAAAATATTTGACATTTTCAAAATAAAAATTGTCTCCAAAAACAGAGAAAATAAATCACTATATTTATGACTTGTTTGAATCAGATAATGATGGTGACGAATACTACTGCTTTAACTTGAGGCTTCTTTCTTTTCATTCTTTTACATATTCATAAATCTTTTAATATTGACACCATCAGTCTAGATAACTAATAATCATCCATTGTTAGGAATGATAGTATTTCCTTTGATTGTCAGACCAGAGAAAAAATCATTCTAATCAAATGGAGGTTTTGTTCTTACCTTAAGTGCAAACAAAACCAAGCTCTGTACCCTGGTCCAGTAAAGCTATAACCAGAATATATTTTTAATCATTGTGACCGGCATTCACTTAAGCAGAGATAGGGCAAGGAGAAAGAGACCATGGTGTGTACTATTGTCAAACTAGTTATCTCTGATAACTTTTTAGACTTGTGACTACTTCACAACCTCTTTTCTGTTTTGATTGTTTCAGTGTGATGGAACAGATCTCACCCCAAAGATTCAGGAACTGAAGTTCCAGTGTATAGTATTTTTAAATATACCCAGGTAAGCTCTGTTTATATTGTTTCCTTGGTTTGACATGAACTCTGACTTGAGGTTGTCTGTTTTCATAACAGAAAAGTTTCAGATGTAAACAATGAAGATCAGTTATCTAAATGGAAAATTAAACATTTCTAGATCTGATAATTCATTCTCTGATTTGGTTTATTCAGTGTTCTTTGTGGTTGGTGGTTTTGTGCATCATGTGGCATGCATTGTCTGTACTTACCCATCTTTAAGCAACCCAGGCACCCCTCTTGACTGGAACATCTCAATTTATTTCTAAATTACTGTTCTCCTCCTCTCCCCCTCTAAGAATGAGAGAATTGAAATACTTTTTTTTTTGTTTTTTTTGTTCTCAGTTTCCTAAAATCTCTTAAACCATCCAGTCTGATTCGAGTGTGGAATTCATTCAAAATTGTTGCCAGATGATTGCTTTGAAAAATAGGATCAGTTAGAATATTGTTTTCTAGCCAGGATGTCAACTCTCCTTGGTGCTATTAACGCACCTCAGGAGAAGGGATATTTAAGATAACTAGACTCAAAATAAACATATTATCTCAGTGGCATAAATTGTGTTCTAGGCCCTGAAGCCAAGATTTTGGAAGGGATGGATCTGTAACCATTTATTTGCCTGCCAAACAACTCAGACAGAAAATCTGCAAATACGTTGTATTTAGACTGAATTTAATTGAAATGAGAGTTGTATGTAAATCTGTGGCTAGGAATGATGGTCATAGTCTCCTGATTATTCTTGGCAGTGCTCAATATAGTCAGTTACAATTTTATTCCAGAAATATTTGCAGCTTAATTGAAGTGGAAGGCCTTGATTCTCAGAAAGCATTATTTATTACTTTGCTTTCTTATTCTTTCCCTTGTCTTTCCTCTTTTCTCTCTTTTGTTTCTTCTCCCTCTTTCCCATCTATGTTCTCCTTCCTCTATTTCTTCAATTTCTTTTGTTTCCCCTTCTCTTTCTAATCTCTTATCTGTATTTCATCTCTTCTTCACTCTGTCTTCCACAGTTACCTTTCCCTTCTCCTGTGAGTACCTCTTATTTTGCTTATGTATTAATGGCAAATGCTTCCCACTTCATTTCCCTGTCTCTTTTCTACTGGCATCTTTCTTTAAGACCAAATTCTGAAACCACCTATAGACAATTCATGATATATCATAGAAAACAGACATACAAGAATCATAGTGAGAAATATAAATAATGAATGAAGAGAATGTTGGATACCACGGGATACTTTTGTTGCAAAATTATGGCCCATTTTCACAGCTTGGTATTTTGTAGATGATAAGAAGTGCATTTTCTTTTCTATTGGAAGGTGTGTACCAAGAATGGAAAACTGTTTTTATGTTTAATAAACGTTGGATGTAACTACAAACTACCACCTCATGATAGTCATGAGAAGGATGGGACGTATTTACTTCTGTCTTTCATCTTCTCTTGCAGATATTGTGCTGGCACAATGCCCTGGGGAAACCCAGGAGATCACCACGATTTCGAACCTCAGCGTCATGATGATGGTTATATTGAAGTCATTGGATTTACCATGGCCTCTTTGGTGAGCAAAACAACTATTTTATTAAAATGAAATGTATTTTAGTCACAGAGTTTATTCAATTCACAGGACTTTAGTTAACTTTTTCTCCTGCTTTATCAAGTTACAAATTTTATGAATTATAGAGTTGCTTAGGAAAAACAAGAAAAAAATCATCATTTATGTCACTAAGGAAACTGATGCATATTTGTTTGAATCTCAAGAATAAATGAGTATCACTTCTTATTTTTCCTGATTAATTTTCTACCAGAATGAAAACTTTTTATGCTAATTAAAAACATTACACCAGGCTGGGTGTGGTGGCTTCACGCCTGTAATCCCAGCACTTAGGGAGGCCAAGGTGGGTGGATCAACTGAGGTCAAGAATTCCAGACAAGCCTGACCAACATGGTGAAACCTGCCTCTACTAAAAAACAAAAATTAGCTGAGTATGATGTGCTGCCTGCAATTCCAGCTACTGGGAGGCTGATGCAGGAGAATTGCTTGAACCCAGGAGGCAAAGGTTGCAGTGAGCTGAAATTGTGCCATGGCACTCCAGCCTGGGTGGCGAGTGAAACTCCATCTCAAAAAGAAAAAAAAAAAAAAAGAAAGAAAATTACACCATAGAAACATCCCAGCATTGGCACAGAAGCCATAGCATTTTATACTTTTTTGATTAACTGAGGACTTTTTGTGTTTAGGTAAAAAAGAAACGGTAGCAACTTGTGGCTATCCATCTTACTTACGAATGAAATGAGCATCTCCATTGTCACAAAATATCTGAATATACAAAGACATCATTATTGTGATACTAGTGAATACTCAGTTGCCACAATATTGAGATCACCTTGTATTTTAATTTTGTTTGCTTGCATTAAGGAAGGAAATTTATAGTGTAAGTATATTTTCAAGCAGGTTTTAGTCATGCATTCCTGCTTCTTATTAAATGACGTGGGGACCAGTTAAAATTATGCTTATCATTTCTTCTTGTGTAAATCGGGCCATACTGAGTTTGTAATGCAAATAAAAACAAAGCTTCTGCTTGTCACCTTTGGTTGGCACATGATTTGTGCTGTACCTTATGCATGAAAGAAAGAAGGTTGCATTTCTTGTTCTAAACAAATCAAAGTAGGCATCTTTTTTACTCATCCTATGAATTCCAAATACTCTGCCTTAACCACCTCGAATTAGTGAAGTTTATTTATTTATTTTTATTTTTTTTTTTTGAGACGGAGTCTCACGCTGTTGCCCAGGCTGGAGTGCATTGGCGCGATCTCGGCTCACTGCAAGCTCCGCCTCCCGCGTTCCCGCCATTCTCCTGCCTCAGCCTCCTGAGTAGCTGGGACTACAGGCGCCCGCCACCGCGCCCGGCTAATTTTTTGTATTTTTTAGTAGAGACGGGGTTTCACTGTGGTCTCGATCTCCTGACCTTGTGATCCGCCCGCCTCGGCCTCCCAAAGTGCTGGGATTACAGGCTTGAGCCACCGCGCCCGGCCGAATTAGTGAAGTTTAACAGAAAAATCTATTGTGCTTATGGCAAGACTCTTCATCACCTGATTTTGTGATGGCCCTTGTTAACTCATTTTTAGAATAAAACAGTTGTCATGGTAGAAAAGATTGGACTGGGGTTGACTTACTTTCCAACGTTGTAACACACGTATAGCTCCTTTTCTCCAGAGCTTTTTATGTTTATTGCAAGTGAAGATACAAGCCAAGAGCAAATAGGATTAAGTTCAGGAAGGATATATGCAGGAAAGAATTCCTGGAGATGATAAAATCATGCCCGTATATGATGGAAAAAACTCTCTAAGCTGTCCATTCGTGGTTTACTTGTTCTTTTTTCACTGATCCAGTGAACATTTATTGAGTGGTTATCATATGCTAGAGCCACCTAGTTCTGACTGTGTGGTAGAAGGCTCTCAGGGATTGTCTGCAAGATGACGATCCCTTACCTAGGCCTGGAAGGCCAAGGGGAATATTCAATGTTTCCCAATTGACCTAAGGATCAAAAACTCTGTCCTTACTTGACCTGTAAAGTCGAGGTTCTGTCTGATTCTTTAGCCTTCCCTGCCCTCATCTTTGCTTTCTAGCTCAAGCAGCTGACAAGTGAAGCACAGCATCAACCCTCCCTTGTTTCTTTTGTACCACCAAGCCATTGCACGTGTGCACTCTCTCTCTGAAATGTACTTCAACTGTTTCTTCTGTGTTTTCTCAGACTATATCTGTGTCTTGCTCTTTTTGTAGTCTTTTCTGGTTTGGGTGTTTTTTCTTTTTTCCCTAACAATTGTATAATTAGTATAATTTTTATTATACTAATTTGTATATTTAGTATACTAATTAGAATATTACACTAATTATACAGGAGCAATACTAAAACTGGGTAATTAGTGGAGAGTTAAATGGAGGGCTCTTTCACAAATCGTGCACTAGGTTTATGAGAAACCGATTCTTGAGCTGAAGATGAAAAGGAAAAGAAACAATCACCAGTACCAGAAAGAGAACTACTTGGAAAGGGTCACCTGATAGGCGTGATATTTGCAAAGAGGAAGCAACCAACCTGTGCTTACCTGGCAGGGAGCAAGCCGGGGACATAAATACAGCGACTTCCCTCTGCACCTTGACCTCTAGATCTTCTGCTGGTGGGCCTTTATGGAGAAGTCTAATCGGAAACCAGAAGACATGGGAGCCACTGATGCAGTCCAAATAGGTCAGCCTCACAGAGCAGAAAAGAGGGCAGGAAAGGCTGGAGAGGCAGCTGGGGCAGCAAATGGTGGATATCTATCATTTCGTTGTGGTGGCCAGTCCACAACAGGGAGCCTGCAGCATGCAGTTGGCAATGCGTGATGTGACTGACTGAATTTTACCAGGAGAAGAAGAATGGAACTTGACATTCTGGAAAAAGGAACATTTACAAAAGCAGGAGGAATTTTAGTGCTTTGTGGGAACTATAAGTAGTTTCATGTGGTTTAAATGTAGGTGAAAAGAGAGTGATCGCAAGTGTTCCTAAAGACGTGGGTAAGGGCCAGATCATAGAGTGCATCACAGCACTGATCTAGGAGCGTTTACGTCATTCAGCATTCTTGAGGAGTTAGCAAAAATTTTTTTTTTTTTTTTTTTTTTTTGAGACGGAGTCTTGCTCTGTCACCCAGGCTGGAGTGCAGGGACCGGATCTCAGCTCACTGCAAGCTCCGCCTCCCGGGTTTACGCCATTCTCCTGCCTCAGCCTCCCGAGTAGCTGGGACTACAGGCGCCCGCCACCGCGCCCGGCTAGTTTTTTGTATTTTTAGTAGAGACGGGGTTTCACTGTGTTAGCCAGGATGGTCTCGATCTCCTGACCTCGTGATCCGCCCGCCTCGGCCTCCCAAAGTGCTGGGATTACAGGCTTGAGCCACCGCGCCCGGCCTAAAATTTTTTAAAAAATAAATATTTATATGGGAAAGTTTCAGAGTAAAAATAGACAAAATAATACAACAAACTCCCAAGTGTCATTACTCAGCTTTTATAATTTTCAATTCATGGACAATCTTGTATTTGTCCCAGCTAAAACCTCTTTCATTATATTATTCTGGAGCAAATCCTAGACATTACGTGTATACAATATATGTCATATATACATCTTATGCATAGCATATATATCATTTTATCCATCAATAATTCAAAATGGACTTTTAAAAGATACTTTCTTTTATAAACACAACTACAATGACATTATATTATTTTAAAAAATGAAACTAATACTACCTGAATATCAGTAAATATTTACTCAGAGCTTGAATTTCCAGTTGTCTCACAAATGTCACTTATTTTCTTATGCAGTTTCTTTGAGTCAGAATCCAAATAAAATTTACACATTGTGGTCGGTTGATATGACTAAACTCTCCGTAGTTTCCCCTCCAACTCTTCCCCATTTATTTATGGAAGAAACTGGTCATTTGTCCTGTCAAGTTTCTGAGTCTGAATTTTGCTTATAGGATCCCTGAGGCATTTATTAAAATGTGCTTCTTTCTTTTTTTTCTCTACTTGATAGTTGGATCTGCATACACTACATATATTTTCCCCCAAATCTACTTTGTAAGCAGTGTTTTCTTTTTCTAAAAAGAATATGTAATGTTCGGCTTTGTTTCTCCTTTTTTAATGTTGACTGATATTGATGGTCAATGTTTGGATCTAGCAATCATTAAGGGTTGCAAAATAGTGATAATTCTAATTCTTTCTTTCTTTATTTTTTGAGATGGAGTTTTGCTTTTGTTGCCCAGGCTGGAGTGCAATGGTGCAATCTTGGCTCACTGTAACCTCTGCCTCCCAGGTTCAAGCTATTCTCCTGTCTCAGCCTCCCGAGTAGCTGGGATTATAGGCACCTGCCACCACCACATCCGGCTAATTTTGTAGTTTTGTTAGAGATGGGGTTTCACCATATTGGTCAGACTGGTCTCCAACTCCTAACCTCAAGTAATCCACCTGCCTCGGCCTCCCAAAATGCTTGGATTACAGGCATGAGCCACCATGCCCAGCCTGATATTCTAATTCTATCCTTCTTCATTTACTACTTGAAATATTTCTATGAAGAGAAATTTCACTTCACTTACTATTTGATTACTTAGTCATATAGTTTGTGTAGGAAAGGCTCAATAAGTGATTCTTTTTCTTTCCTTATACATTTTCAAAATACTGAGTTAGTTCACTAGCATCCTCCAATGGTGACTCTGGTTTTAAATGGCCTTCAGTTTTTGAACAATAATCCCATCAAAGATTGGGATTTAGCTTCCCCTAGTATTTGGTTGGGCTTGTGACTACTTGGATGAATTGAATACAGTGAAGTAACACTGTGTACCTTCCTAGTCTGGGGTCATAAAAGATCCTTTCAGCATATGGGAAGTTTGAGTGCTAGTGATGATGTCTAATTAATAGGATTTTTAAAAAATTCAAGGTAATACTTAGTTCAGCTGTCTCTCTGCTTTCATTCCTTTAGTATCAATCATACTCATTTATTGAATACACTGAATCTACAAATTCTGCATCCCTAA